CCCCCCCCCCCGGCCTTATGAAACAGTTAAATGTGACGAGAGCCGAACAGGCACATGAAGACGTTCAAAATACCTTGGACAATATGTTAGTCCGGGACGAGCATGACTATGGCCAGGGCTGTTGGCTTTGACCCGGAAACTTCTGGCCGTCCAACCCTTGAGCGCTAACAACATCTGACTCTACGTGAATTTTCTGTACCAGGCAAGTTCCTCTTGCCTCCTAAAGGTGCTTGCCAAGAAAGCTCAAAACCCAGTAGCAATTAATTATTGACGGAGCATGTGAATTAGAGATAAAAGAAAAGTCGTTCTTTCTCTACACGCGCGATAGTAAATACATTTAATTATGGTAGGGGAAGCTAAGGGATCGTGGTCGGTATTAAGTTTTATTAGCTGAGACATTTAAAAGCATGTCCTCACAACAAAGAGGTCTTGTGTAATCCTAAATGTACCTCTTTGGTGCAGGGCTCAGAAGTGAATAGACTTAATGGAGTGGAGCACATTGTGGCAGATGGCCTGCTGTACCGACCGGTATAACAGGTTTATCATCAATTAACTTTGGTCTACATATGCCTATAGCAAATTGACTGTATAATAGGATCCTGAGCCTCTGTTATCATTGACAGGCCCGCCACCCTGGGATGGGGGGACAGAGAGCATCAACCTCCTCTGATGTCTTGAAGCTCTCACATGAGACAGGGCCACTCTGAAGGTGAACACGGAAGGAGGGGTGGGGTTTGGAGACACGACCTTGGGAAGGAAACCAAGAGACGTGGTGTGGGACCTGCCCCTGGCTCACTGGGCAAACCTCGGGAGCAAAGTTAAGAACTCCATTTGTGTGTCGTTTTACTCTGAACTTGAACTCCAGGTGAGCTTTCAGGGTTTTACAGAGGAAGGACGAGAGAGGGACGTGACTCACCTTGTGAAGGTCGCGAAGCCTGTCCGGTTCCCGGCCTCTGGGCTTCATTTCTTCCTTTCCCCCGCGACGCCTTTGGACTAGGTCAATTCTCGCCAAATGCTTTCCCGAAGGACCAGACAGTAAATATGCTTGGCTTTGTGTGTCAGTAAGACCCCGTTTGTGGGTCAGTAAGACCCACAGAAGTGGCCCCAGACAGTACATCAGGGGGTGAGCGCGGCTGTGTTCCAGAGAAGCTTTATTTATGAGCATTGGAATTTGAATTTCATATAATTTTCATGCCTCACAAAATGTTATTATTACTATGTTGGGTGTTTTCCAACCGTTGAGAGATGAAAAACCATTCCTCGCGGTGAGCCGTACGAAAACAAGGGGCAGGTGGTCGTTGACCAACCCTTGGGCTAGATCATCTTTGAGTTCTTGGTGCTCTCAGACCTTTTCCAAAAGCTGCTGTGACAACAGTAATATCCTTGACTTACTAAGCTCTCGCACGTGCCGGATTCTGTGCTAAATGCTTTACAAGTGTTATCTCCCTTAAGCCTTATACTACGGTGTGAGGTAAGTGCTGTCATTATCTCCATTTCAGAGATTATGTAAAACGAATACACAGAGAAATTAAGAGTGTGTCCCAGTTGAACAGCACTGGGTAAGAGATAGGGCAGCAGATTTAAACCCAGGTATGTGAGGTCCCCAAGAGTGAATTCGGAAGCCTTGTGCTGCCTTTTCTGATGATACTGTGATCAGAGTGGAGAGTGGGCACAGAGTTAGAAAAGAAGTCCCAGGGTTTGTCAGCGCATTTTGTTTTGTAGTTCTCGATCGGGCTCTGGCTGGCACACGTTTCGTGCAAAAAGTTAAAGTGTTTCTGGGTGGGAATTGACCCTCTCTTTCCTTTGCCTTCCTTTTCCAGAAATGTGATGCCTAAGACTTTGGATGGGCAGGTGACCATGGAGAAGACGCCGAGTTACTTTGTGACGAATGAGGCTCCCAAGCGTATCCACGCCATGGCCAAGGACATCAAGCTCATTGTGGTGGTGAGAAACCCCGTGACCAGGGCCATCTCCGACTACACCCAGACACTGTCCAAGAAACCCGAGATCCCCACCTTCGAGGTACTGGCCTTCAAAAACCGGACCCTAGGGCTGATCGACGCCTCCTGGAGCGCCATTCGAATAGGGATCTATGCTCTGCACCTGGAAAACTGGCTCCAATACTTCCCCCTCTCCCAAATCCTCTTTGTCAGTGGTGAGCGACTCATAGTGGACCCTGCCGGGGAAATGGCCAAAGTACAGGATTTTCTAGGCCTCAAGCGTGTGGTGACTGAAAAGCATTTCTATTTCAACAAAACCAAGGGGTTCCCTTGTCTCAAGAAGCCAGAAGACAGCGGTGCCCCCAGATGCTTAGGCAAGAGCAAAGGTCGGACTCATCCCCACATCGACCCAGATGTGATCCACAGACTGCAGAAATTCTACAGACCCTTCAACATGATGTTTTACCAAATGACTGGCCAAGATTTCCAGTGGGAACGGGAAGAGGGTGACAAATGAGGCTAAGGAAGCGGAGGGAAGGCTAGCGAATAGCTAAGCAGGCTCCTTACCTGAGTCCTGAATCCCCCCGGGGTCCACGGCCTCAGCCTCGCTGGAGTGCCAAGTCGATCCCCTCCTTTGTCCAGCCACGATCGCTTCCAGCGCTGTAGGTTTAGGCGAAGGGGTGGATCCCACGGCATCCTCACGGAGGCAACCGGGTTTGCCCGGGCGGCGGCATCTGGTTGACCAGATGGCCACCAGGAGCCACTGCTAATTCTTGTCTTCTGCTAATTAATGGAGTCTGAAGACAGGATAGATAGCTGTCAAGGTCAGAGACCGTGCCAGGAGCGTTTGGTTAAGTGATTAAAGAAAAGAAAGGAAGGTCTACTTTGGTCACTTGAGAAGCCTGAGTCCTAGCCCTGCATCTGGCACAGCCCTCTGCTGTATAAACCTTTGCTTTGGCACCTCTCCAGAATGCTCCTTGTGGCTGAGTACTCCAGGACTCCCAGGGAGCCAGGTCCTTTCTCTGAGGCGTCTCTAACCTTCTCCTTAGAGGTCTCATCCCACAACCCTGTGACTTCCCCCTTCCCCACCTTATGAAGGCGGAGGCATGCACGTTCCTCACCAGAAAAATAAAAATAAAAAAGCTGACACTCTTGGAAGGCTTCTTTCCAAGGGCCCTCTAGGAAGGGCTGGGTCTTTCTCTCTCCATGAGTGTCCCGGGCTGCGGAGGAGCTTAGCGCGGGCCCTCGTGATAGACTCGGGCCCGCGTGGCTGTTCTCGGAGCAGCATGATTGCCATTGAGTTCTGAGCCCTGGGGTTGAGACAGATAAGTGCTATTTCTGGGGTTGAAAAAAGAAGGCCAGACTTTTCGGTGGGCGGTCTTCATACGTGAAGACCCGTAGAACCGTGGTTCTAAGAAATGCTCTAAGAGTGGGCTCTGTCCCTTAGGGTCCCCAGAGGGGCGAGGACGAGAGAGTGGGCATGTCTTCTGTTAGGAGTAATCCTGAGCAACGCAACGAACAGGGGATCGGTCACCATGCTTCTGTTCGCCCCTCCACGTCCCGCCTCGCGGTCATCTGGTGCTTTATTTGCTCTCTGCAGAGATGGCACACACTGGGGCTCCCTCTGTGGAGGGCCGTCAGATCCCGTCTGTGGACGTGGGCGAGGGCGAGGGCTGTCTGTGGACAGCCCCCCACCAAGGGCTGCTGAACGAAGCGTCCCTTCCCATTACTTTGATTCGATGGAAACGCAGCACTTGACGTCAAGTCCTTGTTCACAGATCTCCCAAACCAGGACTGTTCTAGTAAATTTAAAAAGATGTATGAGTGGGGGGGAGCTAAGTCTGTTCGGCTGCTATGAAACTGTCATTTCTCCCGCTAAATGAAAACCGTGTTGTTATAAAGCTTAATGCAACCTGATTAACGGGCTCTCGGCTGGCGTGTTTGTATCAGTCACCTCCAACCCCCCCCCCGCCCCTCCCACTCTGGGACTGGCCCCTTCTCCGAGGTGGCCGGAAAGACCCAGATTTGAGAATCTGCCAGGGGAATCTGTCCACAGGGCTGGATAATTCTGGAAACGGCACAAGGGAAGGGACTCTGGAAAGGAGCTCGGCTGTCTCTAGCTTGACGGATCCTGGCCAGAAATGCACCGATAGGCTAGACTCAGAAACAACCTCGCAAATAACTTTTTGCCAGATGAGGAAGTGGTTATCGAGCGGAAGGCAACGTGTATACGTACCTTCACCGCCAGAGTAAGAGAAGATACAGATAAACACACGCACGTGCGTATAAACCCACCTCTTTGAAGGAAGCAAAGGCATGCTGCTGCCGAACAGTGCTTTCTGGGCTGGCTGGTTGGGGCCTTGATGTGTCAACAGAACAAAGAATGGGTCTAGCTGCCCATCGGGGGCAACCGTGGGGTTTCTGCAGGCCACAGCTTCCTGAGCCTCATTGCAGACTTCTTGGAGAACCAGGAGCTCCGGGGTGGAGCTCAGGAACCTGTTCTTTCAAGAACATTCTTTAAAAAAAAATTAATGTTTTATTTATTTTTGAGAGAGAGAGAGAGAGAGAGAGAGAGACAGCACCAGTGGGAGGGGCAGAGGGAGGGAGAGACAGAATCTGAAACAGGCTCCGGGCTCCGAGCCGTCAGCACAGACTTCGGACTTCAGCTCAGGCCATGATCTCGGGGTCCGTGAGTTCAAGCCCCGCGTCGGGCTCTGCACTGACAGCTGGGGGCCCGGAGCCTGCTTCGGATTCTGTGTCCCCCCCTCTCTCCCTGCCCCTCCCCCACTCACGCTCTGTCTCTCTCTGTCTCAGAAATAAATAAACGTTAAAAAAATTTTTTTTTTAAAAAAACAGGCCAGGGGCGCCTGGGTGGCGCAGTCGGTTAAGCGTCCGACTTCAGCCAGGTCACGATCTTACGGTCCGTGAGTTCGAGCCCTGCGTCAGGCTCTGGGCTGATGGCTCGGAGCCTGGAGCCTGTTTCGGATTCTGTGTCTCCCTCTCTCTCTGCCCCTCCCCCGTTCATGCTCTGTCTCTCTCTGTCCCAAAAATAAAATAAACGTTAAAAAAAAAAAAATAGGCCATACTCGGCTGGAAAATAAAAGTGGGGACCCCACCCCCACCACTTAAAGAACATAGACACTTGCGTATAGCAGCAGGGCTTACGTTCTCTGGAGGAATAGGGCAGGGGCCGAAGCCTTGAGAGCTTGAAGGTTTTTATTTTAAGGATCTGTCTGGCGATACGGTTGAAAGCTCACGGTTTGGAAAAGGAAGGCAACGTTGACATGTTTAAGTTCTATTTTCTGCAGTGTCTACTCTGGCTTGATCCTCGTGACTCCGGGAGTGAGCCAGGAAGCCATGTCCCCTTCTGCAGGGGGAGAAACTTGACCAAGGAATTCCTTCCTCTCCAGGAAAGTAAAGTCAGCCTGCTAAGATAAGAGTCAGGTTAATCATACTTCCGCCCTATTTAAACGTGAGCATTGCAACTCACGGAAGATTGAATTTTGTATTTGATTTCAATTAGCAAAGCATAAATTATATTTAATCTTCGCTTCTGCTCTTCTCCCTCGAATGGAGGGTTCACACCTCTGGAAAGGCTGCCGCTTGTGGCTCAGAGCTGAGAAGAGGAGAATTCTGCCTCCCAGCAGCACAGCTGTCATTGCTCCCGTGTTCCTTGCTTTTGGCCACTATTGTTCTGTACGTGAAACGTAGGAGAGCCTTGGCCTTGCCCCTTAGACCCACCGGCTCGAAACACAGCAGCGACAAGGGCAAAAGCATTCAGCGGTCCCTTTATCTTTCTTTCAACTGTATACGAAAGCCACGACTTCTGTTTGTCCCGTTTCTTATCCTTCCTGCTCCTTCCCATTTGACCACCCTCAGCCCCCTTACTGTCCAGAGAAAACTTCTGCCTCTCTGCTGTTGGAAGAGCGGTGGCTGGGTTCTATCCTTGCCTCTGTCGGTGTCTTGGCCATCTAAACCTTAGTTGTCCTGTCTCTAAAATGGGTATATTTAATCCCTACCCCACCTACCCCTCAGTGCTTCTGGGATAACCAAAATGAATTAATAGATGGAGGGTATTTGGAAAGAATGAAGAGCTTCAGTGACACAGTGGATAGTGAGGACCATGGTAACGTTAGTGGTGATGATGGTGGTAATGGTGATGATAAAGTTGAAGGAGGAAGACAAGGGAAGAGGTTCTCAATACCCCTTCCAGAACGATATGTCTTTATAGAGTGCCAAGGCTATATCTTTACTCATATTGGACAGTTATGAGAATGTCAAGAGAAGGGAGCCCGCATTGATCTTGCTCAAAGCTCAGGCCAATAGAAAAGCCCTCCATAACACAGGACTGGCTAGATTTCAGGCATTCACACGCAAACCATCTTCCTCTTGGCCAAGACCCTCCTCTCACCCCCTACACAGACAAAGTCTCCTCACAGTGGCCTTTCCCTTGTTCCACACTCAAGGTTCTTTTAGATACAACAGGGCACCAAGGCTCCTCCAACAGGGCCAAACAGATCCCCTTGGGATGAACACGGGAGTGACGTTTTCAAACTTCTGGGCTGTGAATTCCGGGCTTGGAGCTCTGACTCCTGAGAGTTCACGTGGGAGACAAAAAAAAAGGTGGAAAAACCAGGCAGGTGCCTGTTGTCCAACGTTTCTGGAAATAAAGTTGGGTTGGGGTTCTCCTCAGGCTTTTGTGTAACGACTTGGGATGGGGAGAGAGGAGTGCCTATGATTTCTAGCTTCTCAAGGGGGTGAGGATGTGTCATTTTAAGATATGAGATACATGAGACCACTTTTTTTTTTAATTGTGAAAATATCACATGTGGCAAGGCAATAATAGTGGGTCATCTGGTATCCGGGCAGGAGATGAAGGCCAAAGAAATGTATGCGATGTGGGTCCACTGGTGGAAGACGGACCAGAATCTCTAGTGTCCCTGGAGACAGGAATGGATATAGCGCTGCTCTAGGGTCAATCATATTTCACTCCAGCTTTTATTCCACAAATATATGTATAGATGACTAAGTGGCAGTTGAAAGAGATGCGAGAGAGAGAGAGAAGCTGACCCAGCAGAGTGCCCAGCCAAGGGGTGGGATGGGGGGGGGCGGGAAAGACAGACATAGAAATACATAAAGAGAGGGTTTCATTATTACGAGAGAGGATGCCCAGGAAACACTATGGAAACACGAAATTGGGGTAGGGGGTAACTCACCGGGGGAAAGGAAGGACCGCCGTGTACGTATGGCATTAAAGACCATACCCGGCTCATCCCAAATCATATGACTGTTCGTATGCTCCGGACTTAAGCTAAAGCACAAAGAGGTATGAAAGCACAAAAGATACGAAAAATACCAGATTGCATTAAGAAGCCTAGTAGGGATTTGGGGGGCGGGGGAAGAAGTGTGTATGAAGGACTTTGCCATCCAGGATCAGCTTCTCCCAGAAGGCAGGCTGACCGTAGCCAAGCCACTTAGTCGGGGACATAAATTCTTGCAGACACAGCCCTCACTCCC